CCATGCTCGTGCTTCTCCGTGTTCTGCAGAGATCGAGAGTCAGGGCAGCAAAGCAAAGGTGTACGGCGAGATGCTGCATGTAGATATACCCTTTCCCATTCCTGAGCCTGATGGATGCAAGTCCGGGATCCAGTGCCCAATTCAGAAGGGCCGTTCCTACAGCTACCTGAATAAACTCCCTGTGAAGAGCGAGTACCCCAGTGTAAGTAAGCAGGCAGCTGGTCCGCTCCTCAGCGCTACGGTCCTTCCTGGGACAGTCCCACCATCTGCCTTTAAGGAAGGATACCTTCTCCTGTGGTGGTGGGGAAGAGGTTAGAAGACTCCTCAGACTATCTGGTAGTGCTTCTGCTGTATGACTCTGTCTCAAGTTCCCACTTTGGGACAGACCCAGCAGAAGAAGCAGCCTGGCTGCAGCCCCTGAGAAGTGGCTTGAGCTGCCCAAGTATCTGCCTGTTCTGTACTAAGCTCATACATAGCCTCCCTGCAGAGCCTGCTGCATTCTGCCAAATGCTCCCAAACTGGGGCTGCTTGGCTCCAGGGTGCAGTTCAGCTGAGAGGTTGCAGCGTGTTTCCACTCTCTGAGTAAGCAGAGTGGGGATCCAAGTGCAATGTGTGGCTGTCTCACGTGCCACGCAGCAGAACCCTCCACCCATGTAAGGTACTCGAGGAGCCACCGCATGAGCGTGGCCCACCCACTGCAGCGGGGGCAATACCCCAGCTCAGTCCTCTTTGCGCAGAGCTCCCAGGACCTCCTTGCTCCGCACAAGTAACAACTCCCCTGTGTCCTTGCCTTGCACTTTCCTGAATGCTTTCATTTCCCTCTACTCTTCTCTTTCAGATTAAACTGATTGTGAAGTGGGAGCTGGTGGATGACCAGGACCAGATGTTGTTCTGCTGGAAGATACCAGTTCAGATCACCAGCTGAGGAGCCCTGCCATTCGTAGGGCTTGGGGAGGGGAAAAACAGAAGACAACACAGGCCAAATTCTTTTATATAATAAGCATTTCTTACTGCTTCCTTCAGAGCTCTGCAGCCTCTGAGCAGCCAGTACTGTGTTCCTGCAAGGTCAGCCATGGGTAGAGGGCTTTTACCCCATTTAGAGCCCCCTGGGGCGTTCTCACAGCAGCTCAAGCGGGAGCAGTGGCTGCTGCAGGAGTGACTGAGCATTGTCCTCTGGCCTTTGGCTGGTGTCTGAGCTGCTACCTGGTAACCCTTCAGTGCCTCTTCTAGAATGCTGGCTGCATCTGTCCTCCTGTGCTGCTTCTGCCATCCCCGGGATGCCCCTGGGAGACCTGCATTTGCCATCCATGCAGCTGAAGGAGAGGGAAGGAGAGGAGGCTTTCCCCAAGCTGGCAGCCTGCTCTGTCTTGTGCCCCTGTTTGAGCCAGCAGGACTGCAGCTGGGAAAACTTCCTTTTTGTGGATGCAAAGCGAAATGGCGTTCAGGGATGATTCTTTTTCTAACCAATGGTTTGCACTACTACTAACCTGGAGCTCCTGGGAGCTCCTGAACCTCTTTTTATAACTTTCCTTTTAATAAAGGCTAGACAAAATCTGCTTGTGTTGTCCTCTGTGAGTGAAGAGGAGCAGGAGGAAAAACAGGGTGGCTGGGCATCTTCTGGTTGGGGCTGTGCTGGTCTTACTTCTCAGCTGAAGGCACGGATGGAGGTGGTATACTGGCCTGAGTGTGGGTGAACTGCGAACAGCCAGGCATCTCTGCTGATGGCTGCCAGGGTGTCCAGCTGGCAATGTCTGGTGGTGCTCTGGCCTTGCTGGTCCTGTGCTGGCCTGAAATTGTGTCATGGGCTCCCTGAGGAGGTGGTGGTGTAGAACATGGCCTTCGTTGCTGCAGCATAGGTAAAGGCCTTTCTAGTGAGGACTCTGGGGCTGGAAAAGCAGCTCCCAGACCTGTCCAAGTGCTCTTGCCAACTGCAGAAACTTACGTGCTCTCATGCTTAAACTGCAGCCCCCTCGTGTGTGAGCAGCCACAACCGCTGTGCTGTCTGCGGGGGCTGGATTTGGCTCCTGCGGCTGGCACTGGGCTGGGGCGATAAGCACGTATTTGGCCTGGCAAGGGTCTCTGCTCTGGCTCAGGAGAAGGAGGAGGCTGGGTGCCAGCATGAGAGAGGTAAGAATTGGCTTATGAGAGTGGGGTGGTCTTGCCAGGCTGGACCCACAGGGAGGACGTGGCTTTGGTACCCCTTGGCAGAGGCAAGACAAGCACAGTTCTGACCAGCCCCAGTGTCTTGAGCCACAGGGGCCCAAAATAAATGTTTTATTTAACAACATAAGAGAAGTTTCCAGCAGACTCGGTTAAA